TTCTTTATATTACAAGAATTGATGTGCTCGCATAGTTTACATCCTTTATTAAAGGAATGTAGGAATTCCAATTCCGTTTGTTCATCAGTCACAGCATTAAATATGTTGAAAACATGTTATTCCAAAATGTTTCTTGCATTTGATTATTTTACACTAGGAAAATTGAACTCCCTCGAGCAACTCTGCACTTTACCACTCCTTCTAGCGCATTTCACTGCGACACTCTTTCTGCATTCCTTTCATCTTCCATTCCTCTTTCCTTTACTCTTGGATACCATATATGTTGGTTTTACTGTATTGTCTTAGCTTTTTTAAACTTAATTCTTCAGTCAAATATAAATTGTATTAAGTGCGTGCTACAACACTCGAAAGTATAGTATAAACTATATATATATTTGGATCGATATGTTTGGTTTGAAATTATACAAGAATTGGTCATTTTTTTATGTTTATGTATCTAAGTTACCTTAGGTTAGTTTTGATATGAATGATTGTGTTATGGAAAGTCCTCGGGCATTGTGTGTGTATTGCCACAGTTGTTGTGGGAATTACACTTGGCCCACATTACATAGTTTAAACAAATATGTATGAATAACTGATGTTTTGTTGACGCGAGCGACTGTTAATGACAATAGAAAAACTTGTGTGTACTCCAATAGCGGGAAAAATAGTAACAATCTATAAAAAAATATTACAAAAAACGAGTGTATATGAATGAATAACGCAGTAATGAAAGGACTTCTTCATAGAGATTACAATTTACACATTTAACTTTCAATTTCGCGTTTTGCAAATATATAAACCCACGGAGACCGCAAAATACGGTATCGGTTTTTAATCACTCTATATATTTGTGTACGAACGTGCTGTATTGTATTCGACCAAAATCGAATTTGTTTTAATATTTTATATTGTGTTGTAGACGGCAGACGGCGACGAAAAAATTCAAATTTTAAAGTTCAACATTATGTAATGCCAGGTATTTTATGTTTCGCAAAAAAGCTACTGTCAATGACCCACATTTCGTATTATTATAATTCGAACGTTTTCGACGCGTTGAAGGTTGAATTCTCTGTGTTTCCTTTATTACGTTTCGGCGCACATTCATATAAAATTAATTAATCTGAATAGTTCCGTCCTCTCTTTACCGCACTGTTTCAATTAAGAGCACTTCCATTTATACAATTTGGAGAAAACTGTCTTTATCAACTAAAGTTTTACTTAAAGCGAAGTGTATTGTTTAATATTTTCTAGAATTAATGAAGTGTTCAAATTTGTATTATATATGAATCTAAAGGTAGAAAATATTAAATTTAATATTTGAGATTGAAATGCGTAATATAATAAAAGTACTTGTAATGGATACAGTGTCAACGAAACGATCTTTAAAAACACCTGTTTTAATTACCTTTTATGAGATGTTCAAAAGCGGATCTGACCAAAAGCGTCTGGTTTTGTTCTCGACTGAATCGTAACTGGTTAAGTAATGATTTTCATGATACATTTGTTTTAATCCCTCAATATCTCAGAAATTACAAATATTTAAACTATCAATATATACAAATCTTTTGGTTTGAGAAATTTATTATAGAAATTGTTTTCACATTTCAGAATAGTGAAGCAATGTAACCTTTGTCAATTTTCTGATATAGCTGAATGGTATTTTAGTTGAATGGATTTCAAAAATTGTAATTATATTGTTCAATTCGTTATTTATTAATCAATCAATAAATTATCTGGTTGATGCATTAAAATTGAAAATTATTAGCGGAAATACATAGACTTTGATGGTACCTGCACATCGCATGCATACAAGCGAGCTGTTTTTTTTTGTGTGTTGCTGTTTGTAATTCTTTGAAGTGCTTTCTCGGGAAAGAAGTACGTGGTGTTTGTGTTTTTATTTACAAAGTTTTACTTTCAGTTACCAGAAATCGACGTGCACTTTCATTATCACTCGCCTTACAGTTTTATGTTTGTTTTGCAAGAAGATCTAATTTTTGAAAAGCGTCTCTTGCTGTGTAAATGTGTATATGAATCTCATGTGCTCAGAATCCGAGAGAGTCATTGTCCTCACTGTCAAGGACGACGCGAGTTTCCCTCCTCCTTCTCCTCGCTCTCACGTATAACTCGACCAGCTGGTTTATCTGCACGGCGGACCGCGCGAACCTGCCACAACTTCATACCTCGCCAATTTGCACTCCACACTTCAAAATTCTCGCGGAAATAGAACTTCAAAAAAGAGAAGAGAGACATATTTCATTCAATGGAACAATTCTTCGCCACTCCAGCCTCACTTGTGCTACATAAGCTCCAGATGAAAATGAACATGATTGCAAAGCTTGATGATCACTTTTACTTCTCTTGCTTGCGTTATTATTCGAGTATTTCATTACACAATGTAACACCTTGATAACAATTTTATATATTATATCGATATTATTAAACATTAGTACTTTCAAATTATGATACGTGAAGCCATTAGTTAAAAAAAAACAATTGTTAATTACTCTTAGTAATACGAGCAATAATGTTAATAGATTCATGTGAAAGAAAGGTCATTCCTACAGACGGTAAAGCTGAGTGCGTTGCGAAGGACGAATAATATAACCTTGAGAAGTGTTGATATAAATATACGATATAAAATTTAGTTCAGATGCAGCGGCGTAAGATAATAGAATATATTCAGGTCAAAGATATTTTGAATGTTCTTGAATAAAGCATTGACTTGATAAAAATAGAATTTCTGTTTATGAAATAAGAAATTTCCCTACAATCATGGTTTATACAATGAGTTATTAATTAGATATTTGCATAAATTAGGAATATTATTCTAGTGATACTTAACAATCCGAAACTATAATTTACAAATTCAATATAAATATAAGTAAATATTCTCTTGGTTATGTACCAATTGTAATGTTTTCTTGCTAAGATTAATACCAGAAACTTAACATTCAATCAGGGGTTATCCGTTGATTATATTCAATGGAAATGCAACATACATATATGTATAAAGAAGTTATTTACAGATATAATGTTTATGTATTCTTGTACCCTCTATTTTTTTTTTCTGTTTGTTAAAGATACGCATTTTTTATGTCTAGACTATATTGTAAGTATCGTTGAATACTATCAGTCACACAGCGTATTTTACTAACGTTGTGATTCTAGAAAATCTTGTGTGAAATGGTAACATTTAAAAGTTACATTTGCGAAGAATTTTGTAATTTTATTGACCCTATTTGCAATATTAGTGTTCATAAATTCTGTTTTTAATTGCGCAACAGTAGTTATGAAATATAAATTATCCCGTGAAGTTGCAAAATTTTACACTAGCGATTTTCATTTCATCAGAGACGACGATGGCTCTGATATGGTGGCCACACATGCATATGTCGGTGCACCTCTCCGGCAAGGCTAAGAAATAAATTAATTTGCAATTTGCGTTATTTATACCAATTTTACTACATAAAGGTAATGCTGTAAGGCTGATGTATTCAGATATATAAAAATACATTTTTGATAATTTATAGCAACATAATTAATACTGTTAAGAAATTTATTATTAACATTTAAAATATTTTTGCGAAACAAAATGTAGAATAACAATGTCTTGTATGAATTGTGATACTCGTTCGCAAATCAATAAAACGACATTTAAACTGTATTTGTGTAGTTCAGAGCACTACAATCTGAAACATACATAATCCCCTAGGAAGGATTTGGATAGGGACGTCGAATGGGGTAACTACCCTTTAAAGATACTTGATACGTTTCCACACAGACTTGTAATTGAATGCAGACGAGCCCCGGAGGGGAGAACGGCTACGTCCCATCGGAAAAACGCAGACGAAAATTTGTAATCGGTTTTAATGTTGGAGGTAAATAATGCTGACGCTTTTTCCCGAACCACATGAAGGACATCTGTTTGTTCAGGCAATTGCAAATAAAATCGAGCACTTAGTAATTATAATGGAATTCGTGAGCCGAGGACCATTCCGATGCTTAGGTTTCACCTTGTTTTTTTTTTTCACTGTTTTCTTTCTTTCGAATCAATAAGGAGTAATTGTATTTACGTTGCGCACCATGGATGGATGCGATTAAATTAAGATTTTTATCGTGCGTATGTTTAATATAGTCTATATTTTTGGAAGAGGTCACGACCTGCAGGTCTACGGCCTAGACCTAACCGGTCGATATCCCTGACACCGCACCCAGTTGCAACCCCACCTGCCTCAAACAAACAGCACACCCTTACTTACGCAATATGTGTTGATGGATATGTGTAGTATACTTCTCTATGATTAATTTACAACTAAATAAGATATATGTTGTCCGGACTTTAATCTGATTTATTTATAAGCGACTGGTGATAATTATAATAGCAGCTTTGACAACGAACAGACGGGGTATTATGTGTAATGATTGATTAATCCATCTAGGATTAGCAAACCTATCCATCTAGCGTACTAACGTGCTGAAATCAATCTATTGTCAGTTTAAATTCTATTAATGAACCAATCGATTATAATCTTAAACTAAGCAGTATTGCATTTTACACAGTGAATCGATACACATCGTATTCGAGTAGTATAGTAGATGATGCACGAGTATAAATTTCTCGCTATCTATGCACGGTTTGTTTCGTCGTTATCATATTATATGCGCTTGTTATCGTCTCAAACGAATCGGAAATATGATTTTGAAACTTGTCCGTTTCCTACTTTTACCTGTATTCTATTGAATTTCTGATAAGTATATTCCAAGTACATATTTTATTTGTTTTCCATCCGGAACTCGCTACGTTTCTTCGACACTTTTTATTTCTTAGAAACCTTATATTTATGTTAGCAACTAGATAATTAACAAAATATTCTGTTATAGCGAAATGTAAACGTAAAGAACCTTGAACATTATTTTGTTGTTGTACGAAATTAAAAGTGTTTCTATTCTATTCCTATAGTGGCAATATACTAATTTCAGTTTTATCTTAATTCTAGATTGCTACATCAGCGAAAAAACTTTGGGGCTTGGAGGCGAAGGATGGCAAGCAACCGTTGCCAATTCATCATTACACGGAAGCAGTTTGGAGGGACAACACATGGGCAGCACCCGGTGAGATTAATAGCATGTCTTTGAGGCAATTGAGAAATACTTTGAGAGTATCTTCTATATACTGTCAATTCCAAATTAATATGTTTCAAAGGAGAATTCGTTAGTACTTTTTGAATGGACTATTATATCCTTTTGTGGGGTTTCAATGAACATCGAAAGTGTTGGAAAGGACTTATTGAACACATTTTAATGTCTCCCTTTGCCATTTGGGAATATCGCGTCGGCGGGGGATGGATGGATGGGCGTGCCGGGCGTCGACATCGCTACGTTGTGCGGCGCTCTGGTATCCATGGCCACGGTGGCGTCTGTCGTCCGGGCAACCACCACCCAGCCAAATTCAATCTGCCCGGGGTCTTTCCTGTCATTACGTTGCCTTCAAAACAAAATAGAAATTAGTTACACCCTAAATGATCTCGTATTATTTATTTGGCATGGAAAGAACCAAGTTTTCGATAAATTTTAAATGTTTTTTCGAATTTCAATGAACCATCGAAGTTTTGAATAGGCGGAATTGTTTTGTTGTTTGCTCAACAAATCAGCTTAATCACTCGGAAAACATTTGGTTTTCTTATTTTTATTGTATTGATTTAAGCTCGTTGAATCTGAATTATATTGGAATATGATTATTTGAAAGATGATTATTATTTAAGCAAAAACAGTTTTTACTAATTGTAGTCTTTATCAATTGCGCATATTTTGTTTAAATTTATTATTATATTATTTATATATTTTGTTTCCTTAGTAACAATTATTACATATTTCTATAAAATACAATTTTCAAAATAAGTGTTGGAAGGTTTAAAGTGAAAATTATATTGCGAAATATGAAAATAATAATGACTGTATCATTTTGGTTAAGTGAAAGTGGCCCTGTTTGTTAACATTAAGATCCCACGCAATTTGCGCAAATATCGTCGTATTTTTTTTTCATCATGTATGAATGAGACAAACAACGAATTCTCTTTGTTTAAATTGGGGGTTAGATATTTCCAGGTAGAGTAAACGATTCTTATAAACATAGGTGTTAACTGGTTTTCTGTTATGACTAATGCCGGGTTGCGTGGGCACATTGGCGTGTTCTAAATGCAATAGTCGTTCCGTGCACCATTGACAATTAAAAACGTTTTCGTAATTTCACAATTACATCCAACAACTTTGAAATTTGTCATAAAATGAGGACTCAACAACAGCATGACGAGGCTATATGTAATTTATCATACGCGTATTTTATATTTGCTATATATACGATAGCTGTTTCCTGCAGCAAGTTTCATTTACCGACAATTCTACGTTCGTTTACCAGAGAGTAATTTACATTTGTGTACATTCGTACTATCAGATAATTTATATTTGTTTGTTTATTATTGTTTTTTTAGATCATACGGTGTCTGGACCATTGACTATGGGAAGACGAGGTGTGTTGACCGGTGGCAGCGGAGATTCCGGAAGTATTTTATCACCGCGTGGCTCCGACACTGGTGGAGGTCTTGGAGTAAAGATGGTAGAATATGTGCTAGGATCATCGCCGAAGGATAATTTGGATCCGCGCATGAGGGCGTTACATCTTGATGACAAGAATGATAAAGATAAACCGCAAAGTCCTAAGGACGATCAAGGTGTAGTCGTTAATGGGCAAGCTGTCCAAAACGGCCAAGTAAATGATGATGAAGGCAAAGGTTTCAAGTAAGTTGAAATAGAATAGTTGTTATTTAATACACGATAACATGCAATGTGTATTTGCATAAAGGGTTACTCTCTTTTTACATACTTTTTATCAGTATGGTATTATTCGTTCACCTGGTGGATATTATATTTATTCCCTTTTTTTTCTCATAAATCATAGCTTATCTCTATTTATTCTAATCAATTTGTACTGGGAAATGAGTGCTTGAGAGAGTACTGTATACTTCTGTTGATGGTTTTTGTAAATGAGCACGTTGCAAATTATATTGAGCTTCTCCTGCTTGATTGTTCCCACTCTACATCACCGTCGTCGGTGGCGACGGCCGCCGTTCAAGGTTTTGACTCTACCTTGTCTGGAGTCAATGACATGTGCGTGCGTGCGTGCTATGCCGACGGTTGCCAAGGTGATAGTCCCCACCTCCGACAACATTTAAATTTCACTTGCTGGTGGGAATGTGTGGCGCCATCTATTTCTCTACACCTGATACTCTTAATATTCCTATTCCCGCAGAGATGGCGCCTCTGATACAATTTTATAAAATTAATATAAATTATTTTCATATTAGTATAATTATTCATTAATTATTTTTAATTGGTTAAAATTTAAATATTGTTTATTATTGACGAGTAAACAATATTAATTCTAGTTCATGGGAGGATTCCCATTTTTAAATTCGAATTCTTGACAATACAATTTGATTTATTTTAAATAATACTATATAAATATATGTTTCAAAAATTTATATTTTTTTTTGTTGTTGCAGTCGTACTCCTGGAAGCAGACAACCTTCCCCTGCCGAAGAAGAATTGACAAAAAATGGTTTACAGTTAGACCAAGGGGTCGTAATTCTAAAGCCCCAGGAGCAGTTGCCCCCTCATCTTCATCAGCATTTACAGCAGCAGCATCTTGCCCCGCATTTAGGCGTCACCCTTGCAGAATCGGTCAATCAACAATTCGAACATTTCGGAGAGCAACCTCCGCAAGCCTATGAACAACATCAGTATGCGGCGCCTCCGCCCCCGCAACCTCACCAAGTAGATAGTGCAGTTTTACAACAGCAACAACATAATTTTGATGTACAGGTAAGAATTTATTATTATTACGGTAGAGCTTTGCTGGATAGCACAAGTAAAATCAAAAAAAACTTTTAATAAAAGGCCTACTTAAAGAGGGACGGTAGTAAAGATCTTTATAATATTTTATAAAGATTTACGTAATGAAATGAGCATACATGTATGTATTATATAAAGTGCGTTAGATTAATTATATATGCAGATTTATACAGTTGGATGCCATCAGTCTGGTAGACACCAACAGGAAAAACTTAGTTCAGCACTAAGAGATAATTATTTCAACAGACCATAACGAAACTTGAAAATACGCACACAAGTGTTCTTCTTCCACTTTTAGAATTCAATCCACTTTTATTAATATAAGAACTTCTTGTTCTGCATGAAGTTAGTCCAGTGGAAAATTATGCGTAAACTTTATAATAGTTTTGTTGTGGTCAAAAACCATAGTCTCGCTCATTCAGCAATTGCCTTCAATGTGCATGAATAAATTAAAATCAATTTTTTGGACTCCGAAAGGGGGACATTTACGTAATACGTGGAAATGCCGCAGCGGAGACAACGAAAAAGCGCATTGCTGAAGAAAAATTGAAAAGAAACTTCGTTCTATTTAATGCATAACAGGCGGACAATTTTGATCGTTATTTCATTCGCTGAGCAAAAGCTAACCGGCAATTATGTAACGTAGAAATTTGCGGTGTGGTGTATGCATTATTATTGTCATACAATATATAATGAATTGGCTTATTAAAATATTTAATATTTACGATGGCTTAGACCTTCTTTTACTTGAGCGTGTTTAGCTCATCTTGAACCATACCAGTGCTCTGAACCGCAACGGCCCGGTGAACGAACTCCCATCTTGCTGGTCACCATCTCCTTATTCTTTATATTTTGTTTCTTTCTTTTGCCTTCTTAATGTGCGTGGCTTTTATTCTCTTCAAGGCCAACGAATTGTACTAACAGAGAAATACTAAAAAAATATACAGTGTGGCCTCTAACTCATTTGGCACTTTTTCTTGTTTTTGTGATGTACCACGCTTTTGCCTCTCAAGTTCATCGTAAATTATGCTTTGGTGGTTTAAACCAAATCATTAATTCGGTTTGATAGACTGTATCAACATTTTAGTGTTGTTTTAATATGGCATTTTTAATGAGGTTGTCGATTTAATAATGTATCAAGTCCTAAACTTGTTCTTTCTTAATCTTAATATAATTTTTATTCATACTTAAACATCACATAATGATTATAAAATAAGTTTACAGTACAAATCCGATAGAAATGGAAGGCCGGCTGACTAATAACCTTTTTCTATTATCCAATTTCAATGCTTATTTATGTTTTATTCTAATATTTAATAATAATTCCGATTGACAAAGGTCGATGTTAATTAGTTTTATGTTCACGATTACATTTATTTTATAGATTAAATTTGAACCAAAAACATACGATTACTATCTCTAAACCTAATATAAAACATTGAATAGAAAAAAAAGAAACTTATATTGGTTTATAAAAATAGAATAATATATAATGATGGTAATAATATATTTTCTTTTACAAGCGTCATATATAATAATATATAATAACATGAATCTCAAGAAATTGCTTTTCATGTGGACATATTCAAGGGTTGTTATGATAGTGAAACCGTGTCGCTGCTCTTCATCTCGGATGCGCGTAGACTTTCATATATATCTTCGTTATTTTCATTTTATTTGCCTTCACGAGAGGTTTCATTTATTCACCATTGTGTCCTGGTGGCGTGCCGTAAAAAATAATTGAAGTATTTTAATGGAAAATTATCTCACTCCACTGGAAAATAATACCAAATTTTCATAGCGATATGCAAATGTTTTTCGTTGATTAAATTTTACAATTTTTGTATGCTCGGAAATGAATGCATTGGTTTAATGCAAGTGAACAAACTCTTTGTTTATTTTGAAGAAGTTTTGCGAGAAAGGAGAAAGTATAAAAAAAACATAATAAGTTAGCCTTTTTTCTTGTTTTATCAATGTCACGATTTATAATTAACATACTTCTAACTTTATGACGGTGTATTGTTTCTCTTTTTTTTTATTGTTTAATTAGCAATTTTGTAGGGTGGAACGTATAGCTAGGTTTATAATAGGGTTCTTTGCCCAAGTTCGCGTGTTTGAAGGCGATGAATTTTTCTTTGTCTTGAGTGCGGCGTCGGCGTCGTCGCAATTCTTGACTAGGGCACTCCCTCTGTCATACTTTATTCACCTCTAATATCGGCGCTATCGCGTGTTGTCTCAACATATTTCATTTCATATATATTTATTTTTTTTAACATTTTTTTAACACACAAAGATACGTACCATTCGCTAAGTAATAAGTCAACGAAATAGCACCAGCATCGCGCTATTTCGCACGACCTCTATTGATAAATAGGATCATCATTGTATATTTCGGTAAAGCTCGTAACAGTTTAAATAAAATACTGGATCTATCCGAAGATTATATTACGCCTATAAATATAAGTTTGTAATACGAGATTTAGCACTCTACCAACTATTTTTTTCTTCTTTCTCTTTCCTGTGTCCGCGTATTTTATTACTGGTTGCGACCGGGTATCGCCTCCAAGGGAATAATATTTCGTGAAGTTAATATTTTCCGCAGTATCATCGTTGTTGTATATTTTAATTAAGGGATGCTAGGTGAGGATTTCGGCACGCTATGTTGCGTGATCAAATACGAATACTCCCTTAACTAACCCAGGGGCGCGACCGCCGAATGTATAAATATTACAAGTAAAAACATTGATTAATATGCGGATATCTCGGTATTTCCAGTTCTTATTATTTTGATGTTTGTTTTATTCCAGTAGAAATAATTAGTCATTTTGATTTAAATACGACGATAGCGAGAACGCTCTGGCATCTATGTACATCTCCATAGAGGGAATTTAATTGAATTCTTCGATTGTTTCGATGACTGCAATGGCGTAGGGAAATGTGTTTGCATAAGAACAAGAACTTTAATTGAAATCTGTCTGGAGAAGAAGGAAATATTATTCCGCTGATGAATCTCCTCATGTCATTTAACATTCTTCACCATTGATATTTTCTCGGGGGAATACTTGATGGTTTGTTCCATTAAACAAATGCTAACATATTTCGCTCTCCTCTGGTGGCCATCTGTTGGTAATTCCTTCTCCGGTTTTCATTCACACGCTCCCCAATGCAGGATATACGTCAAATTAATATAACATCATATCCACATACGCTACGCAAATTATTGAAGTTATAATAAACCATCGAGATAAGCGTTAATCAATTTTTACTAGACCGTTATATACGATTATCAAAAAAAAATCAATCAATTTTTTAATGGACAAATTATTAAAAGTCATTCCACGTTAGAAAGTATATTCACTAAATTAAACTATTTTTTATGCATTTTAACATTCACTATTTAAGAACATTGCATTTTGCAGGGGGAATACTTTTTTTTTTAAATTTCAATATCCTTACGTTATTTGCAATTTGACAAACATATTTTGACCTCAAAGAACCAACAAGGATATGTATTAAAGTGGACACCTTTCTCCTTTTGTGCATTATATCAATTGCGGAATGTATGCCATATTCATTAAACAATCGTGTAATTTGTAGAAATTGGTATGTTATGTGCAAAACCATTACTCGCATGAAATAAAACTGTAAATGAGATAAATGTCCATATATAAATTGAAAATTATATGTATCTAAAAAGTAAACGGCGGTAAAGCTGACAGTTATTACGGCCATTACGAAAATATTGCTATGATTTTTTGTCCAAAGTTCATTTTAATCTTTGATAAATAACATTTAAAAAAAACAACTGTCGCCGTTATATGATGACTCGCGTGTATAAGTAAAATGGATGGAGTCATCGTTTATATTGCGGTTTATAGTTACAGCTGCGGAATTCGTTGCACTGCATTTTTATTGCAAAACAACAATAACTTGCTTTGTAGTTATTTTCTTTTCTTCATTTATGAAAACTTATCTTATCAGACTCTGCATACACAGATATAAAATTGTGTTGTAATAACCTACCAGGTATTCGTAACTGATTCTGACGTGCCAGTATTAAGAATGCATTCGTTTGTATTTGTTTTAAACAAGAATGAGATCGTTTACGATACAATCGATAGGGAGAGTTTGTATGTGCGTGTTATAAAAAAAAGCCGAAACAATGTCTGTTTGTGTGTATAATTAACGTGGCTTCTGGATTGAGAGTAAATAATCGATGTGTTCGATTGTCGATGCATAATTTATTCATTGTATATATTGTCTCAAAGACGATGACAAACCGAATGTTGTCAATGTTTTATATGTGTATCAGGAATTTAAGATCGTTAGAAATGCGCTTTTCTGTGTCAATCGAAGCTTCTCTGAAAAAAAAAGTATTTGTATTCGCGTGTAACGGATCTATTAAACTACGCGTTTGAAGTTTCAAACATTTAAATATGTTTTATGAAACGGTCTTCGAACGGCTTTAGATATATCTATATGGCTTGTTCTAAGGACTTTTATTTTTATGTTTACAAAAAAAAATGTATTTCTATTTCTTTAGTATTGACCAAATAATAATACGTTTTTATGAGGAAGCAGAATGTTCTACTGTAGGTAGAAAAAAAAGAATATAGTAATCTTCGCGGCGATTGTATAACGATCGCGGGCGAGTGTATATTCACTCGCGATCTTAGAAAGGACCTAAAGCAATTTTTAGATTGAAAAGGAAAATGTATATAGAAAGCACCAGATTGCAACAAGTTTTCATCCATTTATCGATTTTACAAAGATAGAGATTGACTAAAAAAACGCTAAAGCTATTAGATTACGGCAGTAGTTGCCATATCTAGGTAAAAAATGTTGTTTCGTTATCGTTCGACTAATTATAATTACTTAAATAATTGCATGTTCTAGGTTTGGATGTATTTAATAATGTTTTACTTGATGCTATACTTTCCTTGTGGTTCGCAGTTATTTTAAATATATAT